AGGACATGGTAGAGGAGGACCTATGGTGGAGGAGGACCCTGGAGAGGTGGTGGAGGAGGATCTATGGTGGAGGAGGACCTATGGTGAAGGAGGACCTATGGTGGAGGAGGACTATGGTAGAGGAGGAGCTATGGTGGAGGAGGACCTATGGTAGAGGAGGACCTATGGTGGAAGAGAACCTATGGTGAAGGAGGACCTGGGTGGATTGGTGGAGGAGGACCTATGGTGGAGGAGGACCTATGGTGGAGGAGGACCCATGGTGGAGGAGGACTTCTGGTGGAGGAGGACCTATGGTGGAGGAGGACCTATGGTGGAGGAGGACCGTTGTTATGTAGGATGAATTAAATCCGACTTCAACTTAACCTAACTTAATGTAACTAAATATAATTTAACCTAACTGGGTCTAATCTAACTCCGTACAATCTAACCTAACCTAACCTAACCTAACCTAACCTTCCATTGACTTGCTTTATGTATCCGTCTTAAAAGAAAATATGAATACAAATATAACTGAATTCTCTGTCTTGTTTGTATAATACTTTCCGAACGATGACCTTTTATCTTATCTAAGGTGTTTGTGTTTGTTTGTGTTTGTTTGTGTTTGTTTGTGTTTGTTGGTGCTGAGGATAAGTTGTGTGGGAGACAGGGGGGGGGGGAATGAGGGTTTGTTTGTTATGTGTCTGAGTGACGGTGAGAGGCAGAGGTGGTGGTAGTTGTTGCAGGAAACGATGATAATCACGTGAGGATTATAAGCACCACTCATCTTATTTCACCTAAGTAAGATTAGATGAGTTAAATACTGGCCGAGGTTAATATTGCAGTAAAGGTATAAATTATATTCTCTCGTAACCCATAGATATTATCAACTTATTGAAACTCTTTCTTGTAACTCGTAGATAGTATCAACTTATTCAGACTCTCTACTGTAACCCGTAGATATTATCAACTAATTGAAACTCTTGATTGTAACCCGGAGATATAATCATCGAACTCAGTCATCATATCATAACCCAGAGATCTTATCAGCTGGTCGACCATCAACTGTTAGATTGATAACACGACATCCCCATCGATCAGGGAGGCAGGGGGGAGGGGGGGGGTGGAGTCCGGTAGTTTGAGTTTTCTCTTGTCAAACATGAGGTGGATGTCTGTTCGTTCACGTCAACAGGCAGGAGTGAAGTTAGCCAATAGACCAAGGGTGAAGAGAAGTTAGCTAAATAAGACCTGAAACCATCTTTATCACATAGGTAGACAGTGATGGCTCCTCCTCCCTCCCTCCTCCTGGTTTTAAAAGACACAAGATCTCTCTCATATTCCTGTTGTTATCGTTGTCTTGGTCGCTGTCACGTCGGAGTCTTCGGCATTATAGTCATCGGTGAGTAGTAACTCCCGTGTGACACTCGAGGTTCACGCATGGTGGTCGTCACTGAGGTGGTCGGTGGAGTAAGACCCAGAGAAGGAGAGGCAGGGCAGATGATATCATTCGAGAGACTCCTTATTTAGCCAAGACTATTTGTATTGTATCGAACGTCCCATCTCCTGTCATCGACCGTCCCATCACCCTCCTGGCTCACCCCTTCATGATGGGAGGCCTCCGTGGTGTTCTCCAGGTTGTCTCCGTTACCACACTACCGTCCCGTCACCCTTGAATGTCTTCGCTTTGTTCCCGTGTCCTTCTCTGTCTCAACCTACATTTACGTGTGTTGGTAAGTATCCATCTTCCTCCTCCTCCCTCAACCATCCCACTAACCCACCACCACTTACTGCGATCGAACCCCACCACTCACCTCTGCCCTCCACCCCATGACCTACCCCTATCCCCCAAAATGTTCCTCCCTTCCACCCCACTTGTACCCCTCCTCATCTCCCCACCTCCGCCCTGTTCTCTCTCTCTCTCTCTCTCTGAACTAATATATATATATATATATATATATATATATATATATATATATATATATATATATATATATATATATATATATATATATATATATATATATATATATATATGTATATATATAGGTCGAGGGTTCGATTCCTTGCTGGTGAGGTCGTTGATTATATGTTCAAAGTCTGTGTTATATGGACTATATATATATATATATATATATATATATATATATATATATATATATATATATATATATATATATATATATATATATATATATATATATATATATTCCCCTTGTTAAGAGGCGTCCTAATGTGAGTAATTAGATCAGCTGTGCAGACTCTTGAGATTTCTTGATGATAGTGGCAACCAGAGGGCGTCTCCCTCACTACGCTGTTCTTACGCTAAATGGAGGCCTTCCTCCCACCTCCACACCCACCCCAGGACCAGTGATCGGACGTCCTTCTCCTTGTATTCTTCTTTCCCCTCATTCCTTACTTCCCTTTATAGGTCCAGGAAAGTGCGTCCTCTTCCTTCCTCCAGGACCAATAATGGGCGATCTCCTCCATCTTCCCTTCCTTCCACCTGCAGGAGAGGTAATGGCTCGTGTTCTTCCGTCTGTCAACGTGAAAGAATAAAACGCCTCTTCCTCCCGTTCACGTCCGGGTCTTCCGGGGAGAAAAACTCGGGTGGGTGTTCCTCTTTCTGCCTGGTCGCTCATAAGAAGAAGTAATAATGGCAATAAACAAGGACGGGGAAGGAAGAAGTTCCTTTTTATCTTCCGTGTCAGCAGGCAGTGGATGGATGGTTTCATCTCACCACTTTTTCTCTCCTGATGAAGAAATGATAAAGCATATTCTTTATCCTCCGCTCCTGAGGAAGGGCGACTAAAGAGCCCCCCCCCCCCGTTCCTCTTTTGTCATCTTGACGGAAAGAGAAAAAGTGTACCTTATTTTCTTGTCCTCTTGTAAGAACAAGAGCTTGAGGCGTGTCCGTGCAGAATGTTGAGATAGCTGGTGACGGAGACCCCTGGCTGCCTCTCGCGATTGTTCACCTCCACGATACACGAACCTTCAGTCTCCCTGACCCCGTCCCCCCAGCCAACACCCGCCGGGGGTCCTGTCATCAAGCTTTTATCACCTGCATCTTAAGTGTCTGGCGTAGAGCGCTGCCTACACCCGTGTGTTTCTCGGTGACAGACTCTTGACTACTGTGGCTCCCTAACTCCCACAGCTGTGTCCCTTGTCTCCGTCACAACACGACTCCGTAAACCCACCAAAAATACTTGTTGTTCGGATCAGATATTTGAGCTTCTAGTGGGTTCTTTTGTCTGGTTTCTATCTCCCTGTATCTGCTTGTTCTTCCTACTTGTCGCGGGTAATAGTGTCATGGTGTGTCGGCGTGATAGCTCACTCCCGAGGTCGGTGCTGTAGGACGGAGTTAACAAGTTGAAGGCGACGGTGTTCTTTGGTCAGCCGCAGCGGGTGTGTAACTTGTCTCAGGCGACCGTCAGTGTCCCCTTCTGGTTACCGTTGCGCACCGCCACCTTCGGGAGTTAAATCTCTCTCTCTCTCTCTCTCATATTTATTGGTTACTTCAGTTACCTCACACCCGCTCTCAACTGTGACATTAAAGGTCTGGCGTCGGGTTTCAGTGAGTCATTCTACCAACACTGATGACCGTAGTCGAGATCATTCAAGAGCCAAGATCTTTGATGTATATACTTGACTTATTTACCTGGCTTATATACCTAGCATACTTACCTGGCTTACATATATGGTTGTACTTACGTGGTGTACTTACCTGGCTTATATACCTTGCGTATTTACCTGTCTTATATAACTGGTGTACTTACCTGGCTTATATATATATGATTATACTTACCTGGTGTTCTTACCTGGCTTATATACCTGGTGTACTTACCTGGCTTGTATACCCGATGTAATTACCTGGCTTATACAGTATACCTGATGTACTTACCTGGCTTACACCTAGCACATTCACCTGGTTTATATACCTGGCCACTTAGCTAGCTCATTAACGAATTTACCTGTTTTTTTACACCAGGCATATACTTAGCATCAAACACTTACTCCAACACCTCAAACTTCGACCAGGATTCCCGATCAACCAAAAACCGTATCAGCTGTCCGTGCGTAAGCTGGCGGAGTGCACAACCACTGCGGCCCGTTTATTCATGGACCTTCTCAAGAAACACGCCAGGTTCTCTCTTGAAAGCCTCTAGTGTTCTCCCGGCAGTGTTGTGTAGACTCCTCGGTAACAAGACCAAGACTCAAGGGCGTGTAATGTTAACTTAGTGTTCCCTGACGGTGCTCACGAGTCTTCCTACTTCTCAGTGAGGGTCTCCTGCACCTGTTGCCCTGCCGTCACTCCAGTTTAGTCGTATATGTGCACAGAGTCGCTGGTTTAAGCACAGTCATTTGTTTCCAGGTCCGGATTACCATGGTAGCTCGGCCGTACATTGGGAATTTACTTATTTATATTTATACATTTTTTTAATGTTATATCACTATTTATTTTCATGTCTCAGTTATTGTTTATATACTTAAGAACTTCATCTCTTATCTCCCCCCTGCACCCCCTCCTTCTCCCCTCCACCTGGCTGCTTGTTGCTCACCTGCCCGGGGTACAGGTGGTGGGTGGGGCCACCTGGACCTCGCTCCTACCTCGCTAACACCCTCTGTCTTATCTCTAACTTCGGCACGCCCTCCACCCTCCCTCCTCCTCCCCCAGCTTCCCTGCCTCTCCACCACCCGGTCCTGTACCCTCCCTCCACCTCCTTGCTATGCACCCTCTCTCCACCACCTCTACCTCCACCCTCCCTCCTCCACCCTGCCAATCTCCCACCTCAACCACAGGATCTCCACCCTATATACCCTATATATATATATATATATATATATATATATATATATATATATATATATATATATATATATATATATATATGTGTGTGTGTGTGTGTGTGTGTGTGTGTGTGTGTGTGTGTGTGTGTGTGTGTGTGTGTGTGTGTGTGTGTGTGTGTGTGTGTGTGTGTAATGTATATTTATACCTTCTATTAATGTGTGTGTGTTTGTCGTTACAGGCGCCTCGACAGCAACCGCCTCCAACACCTCCCGGACAACCTCTTCACCAACTGCCCCGGCCTCTACAAGCTGTGAGTACCTCCCAACATACTGTACCTCCTCTTACGTCACTGACCTCAACTCCTCAATGCTTCATTGTGTGGTATTATTCCTTTTTATTCTATTATATCGTTTATCCTCTCTTCCTCTCCTCCTCCTCTTTGCATGTCTTGGTCACTGGAGGAGGGGAGAGGAAGGAGAGGGGTAATTATTGTCATTGTGTCATTAACCTGTGTGTGTGTGTGTCAGAGTGTCTGTCTGTCTGTCGTGGTGTGAGCGGCCTTCAGCTGGTGATGTATTTACTGTTTATCTCCCGCAGACGCTAATTGGTGGGTGGTGGTGATGTCGTACCTCCACAAGTGTTGTCTGTCCGTCTGTCCGTCACCGTCTGTTTGTCTTTCTGTCATTATGTCACTTCCCCTCTGACTGTCGTCTTACTAAGATCACTTGTTCTACATGTGACGACCACGGACCCAACGTCTGTATACAAGGAAGCCACTGTGTGTGTGTGTGTGTGTGTGTGTGTGTGTGTGTGTGTGTGTGTGTGTGTGTGTGTGTGTGTGTGTGTGTGTGTGTGTGTTGTGTGTGTGTGTGTGTGTGTGTGTGTGTGTGTGTGTGTGTGTGTGTGTGTGTGTGTGTGTGTGTGTGCTCGTGTGTGTGTGTGCGTACGTGTGTGTACGTGTGAGTGAAGTGTTATGCTTATACATGCTCATGGATATGTGAACGCACACGTGTATAAACGCAGAGACATAGTTGGCACACACAGACACGGTTAAATATACACACATGTAACTAGATATATACACACACATGGACGTACACCACTACATACACGCAATAATTCACCAATGAAGTATGAAGGAAGACATACAAGGAACTGAGTAAATACAATAATAATAATTCATAATAATAATTAATAATAATAATAATAATGCAGACTGTTTACATTTATAGAATATTAGTTATTTTGTAGCTTTTAAAAGTTTTGAGAGGAATATTAAGGTGTGTGGGAGGGAGGCAGGTGGTGTGGTGTGAGAATGAGGGAAGGAGGAAGGAAGACGTAGGTGTGTGAAGGAGGGAAGGAGGGAGCTGGGGTGATGCATGAGGTGGTGGAAGTCATGACTGATGACTCAAAGACGAGACAGCCACTGTGGGCGGTCAGATTGACCCCCAAGGAGATCCCCCACGACGCCGCCCCACGCCCACAAAAACCCTCATCCCACATCCATCACGCCCACACCTCCTCCGTGATCAAAATAACGCATCGCTCATGTATAAGATATTGATTTCTGGCCGCCCATGATATTAAAAAACACATGTCATCAATTTATGCCGATAAATGTTACCACAGTATCATCCACCCATAAGGAGCGGCCACTGTCCCCCACGCCCTCATACGCCCACGCCCTCCTGCCTTAATAAGTATCCGTGTTTCTGCCATGTTGAGAGAAATACAACAACATGTGCATAATTTGTCGCGGTGCCCCCCTCCCCTACACCCCCCGGGGTCCTCCCAGCACAAAAGTTCACCTGCGGGATAATTCATGGAATTTTACGATGCCATCAAACCTTTTATTTCCCTTCGCCGCGCCCCGGAACAGCCTCGGTCTAGTGTCGGCGGCCCCATGCCACAACCCCGTCTTCTGGAGGGGCCGCCATCAGCAGTTTGATGGGCATCTGGGCAGGTCACGGGGCATCTGATGGGTCCAGGGAGGAAGGGTATATGGTGCAGACAGCCCGATTTATGATGGTGTCAAGGAGGCGACACAGTGGACCGCTATTCGTCTGATGACACTAAACCACCAAGATAGTATGTGACAGAACCTGTAAACATCAGACAGAACCAGACGTCGAGGTGTTGTAAGGAACAAAACCAAGGAACATTAGGGAGGAGCAGAGGTCATTAGGTGGACCAGGAAGCCCATGGGTATTCTCAAGGGTCACTTGGGGATCCTAATAATGTCACCACCAGGATGGACCACTGACCCGCACGATACATCAAAAGACTTTTAAGGGAATGACCAGGTAGTGTCTGGGATGGGTAGAAATTTAAGGATGGTATTACGTAATGGAGCCATCTTTTATGACTTAACTTAACCCAATTAACTTAATGCTACTGTAGTGTCATCGCGTGTGTAGGACCCGTCGCTATGTAGGACCGTCGTTGTGTAGGACCGTCGTTATGTAGGGCCGTCGTTATGTAGGGCCGTCGTTATGTAGGGCCGTCGTTATGTAGGGCCGTCGTTATGTAGGACCGTCGTTATGTAGGACCGTCGTTATGTAGGGCCGTCGTTGTGTAGGGCCGTCGTTATGTAGGACCGTCGTTGTGTAGGGCCGTCGTTATGTAGGGCCGTCGTTGTGTAGGACCGTCGTTATGTAGGACCGTCGTTGTGTAGGACCGTCGTTGTGTAGGGCCGTCGTTATGTAGGGCCGTCGTTGTGTAGTTCATCCCGGGCGCTCGGGCTCTTTGTCCTCCTCCTCCTCCTATCCACCCCCTGCGTCCCTCTCGCCCGCCATCTATCCACCGTTTATTAAATTTCTTCATTAAATTACGAAGAAAAAATAGACCAATTACTGCAGTTAATTATCGAGATTTAAAATTTAAATCTTTAGAAAGCAAATTTGGTACAGTTTAATATTGTTTGACTCAGATATGGTTGGCCGCTACCTTGTTAAGAGGTGATGACAATGACGATGATGATGATGATGATGATGACGTGTCCTTGCCGTTTTAAGAAGTTTTAGTGGGTTTTTCATCCACTTGTGCTCCATTAAAGTGTTTGATTGTGAATACTGGAGTGGAAATCGAGGTTATGGTTGTACTCTCTGATATCATGGTCACTTTGTCTCGACCACAACACTGTAAAGTAACACCGACTTGTATCACGTTTCTAAGAGTCTTGTTGTCATTTTGTTATAATTATCCTGTCCTGTGTCTTCTGTTTCTCTTGATCCATCCCGAAACAGGAAATAGAAGAGAAAACAGAATACATAACCAGTATAGATAACAAGACCTTGATTAACCAAACCTAAACGGACTTCAACCTAACCTAACTTAACCTAACCTGACTAAATCTGCAGTTTTAGTGTGAAAAGCTTATAGGTTCTGGGTCGTGTAATTTAGTAGTAAAACTACGTTTATTGGTGTTTAGTCCTTCTTTTCTCCTCCTCCTCCTCCTATATCCCTCCCTCCCTCCCTCCCTTCCTTCCCTCTCCCGTCCCCAGTCTCTCCCCTTCCACAAAGGATTATTATTAAGAGGATTGGTTCAGCTGTTAGCGCAAGAGGCTCTTAGGCCTAGGGAAGCCAGGAAGGGTATTGTAATCGTGTGTGTGCGTGTGGGTGGGGGGGGGGGTATGTTTATGTATATATTTGCTGTTACGTGGCGACCTGTGGTGTAATGGTCAGCATTCTCGCCTCGCAAGCGAGTGGACCCGGGTTCGATCCCCGGGCAGGGTGAAACTATGGGCAAGTTTCTTTATGCCATTTGCCTCTGTCTACCCAGCAGTAATTGGGAACCTGGATGTTAATCGATGTACGGATCGTATTCCAGGGTAATGGTTAGCTAGTGCAGTTGGCGAGTTGTCCTGTCTTCTCGGACTATTCCTTGACAATGGGTCATTCAACTCGTTAACTTAGGGTATGGTTCTTGTGTTGGCGACAGCTTCTACACCTCTAACACTGGGTCTTGCAGCTCGTTAACTTAGAGTGTGGTTGTTGTGTTGGCGACAGCTTCTACACCTTAAACACTGGGTCATGCAGCTCGTTAACTTAGAGTGTGGTTGTTGTGTTGGCGACAGCTTCTACACCTTAAACACTGGGTCATGCAGCTCGTTAACTTAGGGTGTGGTCGTTGTGTTGGCGACAGCTTCTACACCTTAAAACACTGGGTCATGCAGCTCGTTAACTTAGAATGTGGTCGTTGTGTTGGCGACAGCTTCTACACCTCTAACACTGGGTCATGCAGCTCGTTAACTTAGAGTGTGGTCGTTGTGTTGGCGACAGCTTCTACACCTCAAACACTGGGTCATGCAGCTCGTTAACTTAGAGTGTGGTCGTTGTGTTGGCGACAGCTTCTACACCTTCAAACACTGGGTCATGCAGCTCGTTAACTTAGGGTGTGGTCGTTGTGTTGGCGACAGCTTCTACACCTTAAACAAATTCACACCTCGGTGGCCCTAGGGCCGGCCATCCTCGTTACACGAGGGGCAGCCATTATTATATTTATTATACATATAATAATGGCCCCAGGTCCATTAGGTCCAGGTTAGACGGGACGTGAACCCTAATGGACACCAATCCCAGTGGTTAGGTTACGGTGAGGTGGAGTCTCTTAATAATAAAGCCTATTAGGACTGGCAGGCTTATCTTACGTAGACAATACACATTTATATCAAGGAGACACATTCCTGAAATTCTTACTCGTTGTTGCCATAGAAAACAGATATAACATTATAACCACTTGTCGTATTACAGTAAAACTAGACAAAATCACTCATAATACGTAATCAGGTGTCGTATTGCAGTTAAACTCTTGAGTTGTATGGGTGACCTGAGCCTCGTGTTTATGAGCCTTGAGATGAGTGTCGAGGCTTCTGGTTACAACAAGTCACTAGAGTGATAGTAGAATTGTTGATGAGTTATGGTAACACTGTCCTCCTCACCTGAGATTTAATCAACAGGTGAAGTGATGGGTAATGTTATATGGTGGTGTGTGTGTGTGTGTGTGTGTGTGTGTGTGTGTGTGTGTGTGTGTGTGTGTGTGTGTGTGTGTGTGTGTGTGTGTGTGTGTGTGTGTGTGTGTGTGTGTGTGTGTGTGTGTGTGTGTGTGTGTGTGTGTGTGTGTGTGTGTGTGTGTGTGTGTGTGTGTGTGTGTGTGTGTGTGTGTGTGTGTGTGTGTGTGTGTGTGTGTGTGTGTGTGTGTGTGTGTGTGCGTGCGTGTGTGTGTGTGTGTGTGTGTGTGTGTGTGTGTGTGTGTGTGTGTGTGTGTGTGTGTGTGTGTGTGTGTGTGTGTGTGTGTGTGTGTGTGTGTGT